TAATTTTGTTGCACTGACAGCTATTTACTCGTTTTTAAAGGATTGACTTGCCAAGTTATTGAATGAAGGTCAAGTTAATGTTAATAATACATTGGTTGTCTTGTGTTTTCAGAGACTTTACTTTTTTAGTTAGGTTTTTTTTTTTTTTTTTCTTTTTTTCTGTAGAGATGAGGTCGTCTTATGTTGCTCAGGCTAGTCTCAAACTCCTGGGCTCAAGCAATCCTTCTGCCTCAGTTTCCCAAAGTACTGAGACTATAGATGTGAGCCACTGCACCTAGCCTCTAGACTTTACTCTTTTAATGACCACCAAAAAATAAAATTGTTTTTAAACAAAAAGAATATTTTATTTTATTTTTTAATCTTTTAAAAAGGAAGAAAATGGGAAGGATACTATTTGGTAGATCAGTGCAATATTTAAGTAGTTTAGCCACTCAAGTACAAGCATGTTTTTCTAGCATATGTAAGTAAGATGACTACTATGAAAAAGCTTATTTTCCTATGTCAGAAGAACTTCACAACTTTGACTGGGCTTCATCTTTTGCTATATTATTTTTTTTTTCAGTAATGTTGCCAAAAATTTTATTCAGTGCTCCTTTGTTTAAGCCCTTTAAACATCAGTTTATGAATCTGCAAAATGGAACTAATAAAGCCTACTACTGTATAGAGATCTTGTATGGGCTAAGTGAGATTTTGTGTGAAAACACTTGGAACATTTTTTTGGCACAAGGTAGGACCACAGCAAGTGTTAGTTAATATATTATTACTCTTACCATGTAATGGAAGTGCACTTGCTTTTGCTCAATAAATCATTTAGTGGAAAACTTGGAACAAAATAAAAACAATGGCACTTAAAATATCTTTGCTGGGTTATAAAACATGTCTATCTTTAAAAGTTATGTATTAACTAATACTGGGAACCACTTTTGCACCTTTTATCATTTACCTTCAAGTCAAATCTTTTGTGGAAGAATGATTCACCCTGATTCAAGGTGAGTCTTACTAGGACACTCAGAACTCCTGCTAGTGAGACAGTGGGTCCTTTGGTGCTTTACAGTTTAACTTGTTTATGCTGCTGCCGTCAGTTTCTGATTAGCTCAGCCTCGCCCATGTTTTGACCTATACTAGTTTGCTTTACAAGCTGTTCCCAGGATGGCTAAATTAGAAAAGTCACGAGTAGAAGCTTCTCAGTTATTTCCATTCACTGGTGAAGTGAGGTGGGAGTGTGGGTGATAGCTCTGAGACTGACAGTGTGACACAGGATTTTGATGAAATTTGTTTTGCTGATATTAACAAGAAAATTCTAGTAGTATATGGTTTTTAAAATGATAATCTTTAAAGAAATCTTTGTTACAAGTGCAGCAGTCTTATATAAAAGTAGATATAATTATTTTTAAAACAACATGATTCTAACACAGAAGTCAAATGTTTGTTATAACTCATAATTTATAGTGTTTTTTTCCCAAAAAGAGTTCCTGTAGATTATTCTGCCTACCTACCTTAGACTATTCTACCTAGTGAGAGAACTTAATAATATTCATTTTAATTTTAATTCTTAAGCGGGTAGAGGAATGAATTATCACTCAGGATGTAAAGCTATGTCTTGTAGTTCAGTATAGCATTTAAACTAAGTATTTGTAGAATAGTGTTACTTACATTAGTACCTTATAATGAATAGAGTAACTTGGATATGTTGCACAGCCCTATGTAATTTGTAGCTATTTTAAAATTAAACTCTGCTTTTTTTGCTTAATAAACTAAGATTAGTACAGACTGTACCATTTTAATATCTAAATTAGTGCTTCTATAAATGAGGCTAAAATGATTACCTTCATAAGTTTAGTATGCCATGGCATGGTCTAGACTATGTGCATTACCCAGTTTTTGACTTAATATTATTTTGTGATATTTAACAGAGAGCTAGTATTGGTCAGTCTTTTACAATTCTTAATATGTGAAGTGATAAATATGATTTTTACCTTTCTAAATAGCAACTGTTGTAGTAAATACCCTTCCTACATTACAAAAATCATCATAATAATAATGTCAGCTACCCTCCTAAAGAGAATTGTTAGAGATAACAGCTTAAAGTTATTTTAACAAGTTATTTATCTAAGTTATTACTGGATACCAGCAAATTGATAGGTCATGACAAACTATTACATAATATCTGTAGTTTCGTTAATTTGCTGTAGCTGATAGAAATATTTATTGCCACATATGCCCTTCCTAGGCTACTAGGTTTACCCCTAGATTGGTGGTTTTAAGGAGAGGCCTCTGTAATATAGTAAGCTAAATATCATGGGGAGGGGATTTGCACAGTAGCTATGGGTGGTGCCTTTTAACAGTGGCTGTTTGCTCCAGAATAACTACCATGAAACACTGCAGGAGGCTTCCTTAGGATATTCTATTAGTGGAAGACACTTTAAGCATGTTGCCAGGAGTGTATTCTATATGATTTGGTCCCTTGGGATTTAAGATCATGCTTTTCTTTTGTAGATTTCTTTGTAGTAGATTTTTATTTTATTTTTTTATTTTAATTTTATTTATTTTGTGAATATATGATAATTATACACACTGCTGCAAGACTCAAAAAGTACAAAGATAAACATTGAAAAGCCCCTCTCCTATCTCTGTGTCCTTCAGCCTCCTTGGAGACACACAGTAGTGATAGAATTTTATTTTTGTTTGAAATTTTTTTCCTCTTATATTTCATGAACTGTGTTTTATTAGAACTTGTGAAATCATGTAAGATTTTAATTGATATTTTTCTCTTAAAATATAAGCATTAAAGATAAAATAATATTTTGGATAGTTGTTTTGCACACTAAATCCAAGTGAGGGCTTTAAGTACATTTTCAATATAATAATAGTAAAAAATGTGATTGTTTTCTTTGAGATTTGTAGGTATATTTTGAGGAGCTATAAATTCCGTGCCAGAGTCTTGGGAGGGAAGAGAATCATTAATCTGATATGTAAAAATACAATTTCATTGCTTTAATAAGTATTTCTTTTGTTAATGAAGGCAAGCATTTTTTTCATATTTATTGTTTTATTTTCCCCTTATGAATAGTATGTTTATGTCCTACCTATTTTTCTACAGCTTTTTAGTCGTTTTCTAATTGATTTGTAAGGCACTTAAAAATTTTTTTGGTTGGGGGATAGTAGAGGAAAATTAGCCCTTTGTTGTATCAGTTGAACTCATTTTCCTGGGTTTGAAGTTTATTCTTTGTTTATGGTATATTTTACCGTCATAATTTAACTTTTAAGTGGCCAAATTTGTCAGTGTTTCATGACTTAGGGGTTTTTATGAGATAGTTAGAAAGGCCTTCCTATTTAAGACTTTTAAAAATACAGTCCTGTTTTCTTTTAATATTTTTGTGCTTTAATTTTTAACATTTAAATCATTGTTCTATATATAATGTATTTTGGAGTGGGACGGTAATAATACACCTTTATGTTTTTCTAGACAGCACCATGTAATCTAATGTTATTTATTAAAAATCAATATTTCTGCCACAGATTCTAAGTCCTGTATTTATCATGTACAGAATCACTGTATACTCTTGGATTTGCTTCTAGAGCCTCTGTTGATTATTTTCTCTATTTATTTGCAGTGTCACACTACTTTGTTAATATCCCATGGTGCTAGTTCATTCACCCCCTCCCCCCTTTTTTTTGAGGCTAGGTCTCTCTCTGTCTCTCAAGGTGAAGTGCCATGGTGCCATCATAGCTCACTGTAGCCTCCAAATCCTAGGCTCAAGGGATCCTCCTGCCTCAGCCTCCCAAGTAGCTGGGATTACAGGTGTGCATCACCGTGGCTGGCCTATTACTACTTAAAAGAAATGTTGTTGCTTGTTAATTTAACTAATTTTACTGATCACTTTTGACATGCTAGGCACTGTTCTAAATGTTGGGATTTATCCTAGATCTGGGAATATAGCAGTGACTGAAGTAGCTGTCTCCACAGAGCTTAGATTCTATGTCTAAGCTCTGATTTGGTCAATTTTATCTTCCTCATTTTAAAATCTATCCTCATTTATATCCATTCTGTTAATCACTAATTTATTTATCAGTTGTTACTGATTTATTTACCAAACTTTTATTTAGAACTTACTAAATAATAGGTCTTGTTTTAGAAACCAGGGATGCAGTGATGATAAGACAAACATAAGTTTCTGCTCTTGGGGAGCTTTTATTTTAGTAACACATTGACAAGATAACGTTGGCTGCATGCAACACAGAGGACTGAGATAGGGAGCTCTGGAAGAGGCTGGGTTCCAGGTGGCTCTAGATTTGCTTGTCAGGGAATCCCTCTCTGAAGAGGTGACGCTTTGTCTAGAACCTGCAAGGTAAGAAGGGAACAGTGAAGCAGTGATCCAGGATGAGGGAACAGCAAGTGGAAAGGCTGTATATTTGGTACAGATGAGGAAAAGCAAGGAGGCCAGCTTGGCTGTCTCCTAGCAGTGGGGAAGGCCAAAGTACAAGAGGGCACAGAGGTAGGCAGGTCACAGAGGACTCTTCAAAATTAAAGCTTGGGGAGCCCCAAGTGTAATGGGGAGCCATTGGACAATTTTGAGCAGAAGCTGAAATGCTTGCTTTTGCTTTTATGTGAAGCATGGAGTGGGGGCCAAAGAGATGCATCAGGAAAGCCAGTGGATTGTCCTTTCCTTTCTTTTCTATTAATATTTGGCAACTCCTATCAGTCCCTTTTGCGTCAACTCAAATGTCACCCCAAAACCTTTACCAACTTACTCAAACAGATTAATTTTTCAAAGAGAGGCTGTATGTGCCTCTCTTTGTACCCATTTTTATGGTAGTTCTTAACCATACTGTATTGCAATTTGTCATCCTCCTACCCTAGAGAGTCCAAGGACAGGTACCATATCTAATTTCGTTTTGTGTACCCAACTTCTCTTGCACAGTGCTTCACAAATAATAAATGATAAATACATGTTTATTAAGTTGAATCATATTTGTCATATGTGTATTTTTTTTTGTAGAGGCGTGGAGCTATTTCGTATGACAGTTCTGATCAGACTGCATTATACATTCGTATGCTAGGTAAGCATTGTTTATTTTGTACCAATATCACTTAATTTTGTTATTTTCTTTTATTTGAATTTGAGGTATCTTTCGTTAGGTGGCTTTTCATAGCTGTTGGTAGCAGAAATATCCTATTACCTAATGGAGTTTAGAGTCTGGAAACCAATATTGAATGTGATGTGAATAAAGAGAGGTATTTTAGAGTTATAGGTAATTGAGAAATCTTTGGCTTAATACCTGGGACACTGTCATTAGTACACATTTTTAAATTGCGTCTTGAACATTCTTCATAGAAAATAGTCTTAGATTTGTAGTGACTAAATACCAAGTAGATGAATGCCAGCATGGACAAAGGTGAGGCCATGAAACACCTCAGATAGTCCTATTCTCAATTGGCTGGCAAGGAAGACCATTTGACTGCTTCTAGTTCTGGTGCTTAAGTTTTTTATATATTACTCAATTCCACAAGGTAGAATGAATTTAGATATGTGCATATATATGTCTAATTTTCTTTCGCTCTTTTTCTCTGTACCAGATTTCTGTCTTCATCCATGTCTCCTTCATCCTTGCACTTAAACTCATATTATTAAACATGCATATTAAGATTCCAACAGGCAAATTTATTCACTTTTTGCTAGAAGACTCTCCCACGACTTCTCCTCAGCTCAGAATTCCTCCCTCAACTTTATGATATTGATCCATCCTTATTCTTCACCTGCTTTTGTTTTTTCTTTGCCACCTTCACTAATTCCTTTTCTTTTCTTTTTTTTTTTTTTTTTTTTTTTTTTTTGAGACGGAGTTTCACTCATGTTACCCAGGCTGGAGTGCAATGGCGCGATCTCGGCTCACCGCAACTTCCGCCTCCTGGGTTCAGGCAATTCTCCTGCCTCAGCCCCCTGAGTCGCTGGGATTACAGGCACGCGCCACCATGCCCAGCTAATTTTTTTCTGTATTTTTAGTAGAGACGGGGTTTCACCATGTTGACCAGGATGGTCTCGATCTCTTGACCTCGTGATCCACCCGCCTCGGCCTCCCACAGTGCTGGGATTACAGGCTTGAGCCACCGCGCCCGGCCACTAATTCCTTTTCATACTTTCAAGCTGTAGTACTTGCCTCAGTTCTTTTCTACTCCAGTACATATTTTTCCTTTACAAATGTGCAGCCTTTTTCTCCTTGCTGTCTCCATCTTTCTCTAACAAACATGTTCAGGATTTTGCTGTCCTTAAGACAGAGCTTTGGATTCATATTTTCTTTAACTCTGTAGAACATCTCCATGTGAATGTTATAAATATCTCAAACTTAACATGTCTAAAGTGAAACATTTGTTTCCCATGTCTGTCTGTTTCTGCAGTCTTTTGCCATCTCAGTAAATATAACCCCCTTCTTCCAGTCCTCAGGTCAGAAACCTCAAATCATATTTGACTTTCTGTTTCTTGCATACTCCATATTGAATTCATCAGCATATCCTACTGGGTGATACCTTAGAATATACCCAGAATCTCACCACACCAATGCTGTTGCCACCACATTTGTTACTTACTTCTTAACTGAAGGCCCTGCATCTACCTTTGTTCACTGACTCTCTTCTCATCTCACTCCTCTGTTCAGAAATCTCTGATAGCCGCGAAGATCCAGCATGATCTGACCCCGCTGCCTCTCCACCCCACCCACACCGGTTCCCTTCACTCACCTTGTTCCTGCCATGCCGGCCTCTTGGCTTGCCCTTGACTGTGCCAAGCATGCTTCTGTCTCAGGGAGTTTACGCTGGCTCTTCCTCGTGTCTGGAAGCCTCTTCCTCCCTGGCTCACTGCCTCACTTGCTTCAGGTCCCTGTTCAGATGGCTCCTTTTCAGTGAGGCCTTCTCTGACTGTACTAATTAGTCACCCTCCTCTCTTTATTCCTCTTACATTTAGTTTTCTCTGTGTGACTCATCAACTTCCATAGACCGAAATTTGGTATTTATTATTTGTGTCACACACAAAAAGATAAGCTTCATGAGGACAGTGACAGGGACTTTTTGTATTTTTCTCACTGCTCTGTGCTTGATGTGTTAACATTGTTGCAGCATGAAGGAATGGCCACAGGACAGGTGACCTGTCATTTTGGGATGGAATTATAGTTGATGAAGTGAGCCTTGGAGGAAATGATGGTCTTACTGAAACAGAGTAAGCAGGAGAGCCCTCTAGGCAAGCAGAATTGCAAGAGCACAGGGATTGAGGCTGAAGATTTAAAGGTTATGAATTTGGAGGCTCTAAAAGTGTAGTGGGAAAAGTGCTGTCCTTGAAACCCATGGAGCTAGGTTTAAATCCTGGCTTACCCTTTGCACTAGCTTTGTGGCATGGAGCATGCTATTTAACTTCTCGAAGTCAAGTTTTTGAATCTGTAAAATGAAAATTAAGATTCCTATCTCTGAGGGTTGATTAGAAAAGAAAAGAAAAGAATGCCTGTAAAACACAAAAAGAGTGTATAGAACATGGTTGCTATGGTTATGTTGCTGTATAGAGAAATAAATCTGGAAGTAATGTGGGCACATGTAGGAACAACACTGAGCTTATGAAGACCAAAGTTTAAGGCTCAGCTAAAGGCCTTGGGTGCACCCACTGTCAGTGAGAAAGGAGTGATTAATCAGATTGACTTTACAATAAAGTCTTTAACTTTTAAAGTTTTTATACATTTATGAAATTATAAACTGCTTGAAAATAAGTAATGTATTTTACATTTTTCATGTCCCTTTTAGCCCATAATATAGTGCTAGGCACAGAGTCAGCTCTTAATATAATATATTGCTTCTTGCTGCGGCTTTCTCAAGTTTTGTGCTGAGGATTTTCAACCTGCTGTAAAACAGATACTGTTTTCCAATGGCCTTTTTTTTTTTTTTTTAAGTTGCCCATGTGAATAATATGTTAGGTCATCTTATGCACTTGAATCATCTTTCAGAAGTCTAACCTATTAAAATATAGATTATTGTAATTATTATTGTAGGGATAGATTTTTTAAAATCCTATTCATTCAGCCTTACAATTCATTCCTGAAATTTTGTGAACCCTTTCAAATACATCAGCTCTCAACTACCTGGTTTCAGATATATCATCAGTGGGCTGTTACTTATGAATATGATATCATGTGGACCTTTGTTGCATATGGAAGCTTCTTCCCAAATGACAACCTTATAAACTTACGTTTTATTTTTGATTCTGTCCAGGAGATGTACGTGTAAGGAGCCGAGCAGGATTTGAATCAGAAAGAAGAGGTTCTCACCCATATATTGATTTTCGCATTTTCCACTGTAAGTGTTGGTAGACATGAAGTTTAGACTTTCACTAAACTTTAACTTTTAATAAAATTACATTGTTTTCCAAGGGAAAAAAAATCCAGAAAGAAACCATATTATGTTTGGAATGTTTTTAAAAACGAAGTCATGTAAATGACACTATTTCTAGGTAACATTAGTAAATGCTTAGAGACAACTTTAGAAGAGGAAGATACTAAAATATGAAAGTTGATATAGCTTTTCTCCTTTCTAATTTATTACATTGTTTTCTTCTTTAAAAAATTGTTTTATTCCAAATGGTTTGTCTTTGCTACTTCAAATAAAATGGTTTTGTGCAAATGATATTTTATGAAGGTATTTCAGTAGTTTAACAAGGTGTTATCTGTTAGGTTTATTTGAAAATGTACATCACCTTTAAAGATGCTTGGTAGAATGCCTATTTCAAAAACAAACATTCTATGTGGATCTGGCCTGTAATAGAGGGAAAGGGAAAAAACAGAACTTCTAAATGCCTTAAATACTAAGCATATTAAATCTGTTTCTGGAGGAGTTCAACTTTCTCTAATGTTGGCTAAAGTAATTTGGATTGATACTCTAAAAAAAATGAGAAAAACTATTCAAAATGTAAAAGATGTGTATGTATTCAAATACTATCTGAATGCTGTTGAGGCAGAGAGATAAGCCCAGCACTTCAGGCCACTTTTCTCCTTAGTAGCATGTGCTGATTCTGGGAAAGGTGGAGAGAAGATGAGCAGAACTTTTTATGGACACTTAGGGCTAGAGAAACAAAAACAGGTGTTTACAGCCCAGCAAGGTTGGAAGATTGGTGTTGATAAACCACTCAGGCTTAGTTTGGAATCCTAAAGTGCTATGCCTTAGAAATAAGTCCCAACTTTGAAATATCTTACTTACTGAATACATTAGGGTGATCTGTGACTCATGTTTCTAGCCACCTGCAGGACAGAGATGTTACTCATCCCTTAAGTTTGCTAGCTGCAAACACAGCCCTGGGACATGTCCTAGGCAAAGACTAGTCAGGGCTTTGCATTCTTAAGACATCAGTAAGAATGTGCAGGAACACTCAGGGCCTCTGAGGACGATTACTTCTCCCGATAACAAATGACCCTAAAACTTACTGGCATAAAACAACCATTATTTTTAATGCTCTTGATTCCAAGAATCAGGAATTCAGTCAGAGTATATCAGGTTTGTCTTGCCTATGCTCGACAGTGTCTTGGTCTTTGATTGAAATGGTTTAGACAGCTAAAAATGGCTGGGATAGTGGCACTGGAGCCTTATGTCCAGGGCCTTGGTCCCTCTCCTGTCATCTCCTAGGGCTGGAACCTCTAAGATGACTTCTGCACTCTTAGGTGTGGTGCCAGCGTTTTTCTCTCTCCATAAATGGCAGTCTCAGGGAAGACTTAGGGTAGTTGGACTAATTACATGATATCTGCTTTCTCTGAGAGCAAGCATTTCAAGAAAGAGGAAGTGTGGGGACTCGAGTGTCTGAAGATCTGGGCCTAGACCTGGCATAGCATCACATTTCCATATTCTGTTGATTAGCTGTGTCACACAGCTTGCTCAGAGTCATGGAAAGAAGACACAGCCCTCCCCCCACCCTGATTGTCAAAGGGTACAAGGTCAAAATCTTTTTAATCTCCCATTCTTTAATCTGGCACAAAATGTTTTGAAAAGGTAATTAAGATCCCAGAAGGAGACGAGAGAGAAAATGTAGCAGGAGCAGTCTTTAAAGAAATAATGGCTGAGAAATCTCTATAAGTTGATAAAAGACATTGAAGCACAGATTCAGGAGGTGGTATAAATCTCAAGCAGAGTAATATTAAAAGAAAATCACACGCAAGTGTACCGTAGTACAACTATGAAAACCAAAATCAAAGAGAGAATTAAAAGTAATGAGGGGTGGTGGACTATTACTTTCAAAGGAGCAATTATGAGATTGCCAGAAACAGATTTTTCATTTTCCACAGAAACTAGAAGGTAGAAGGCAAAAGAAAGATAACTCTGATGTGCTAGAAAAAAATAAACTGTCAAACTAAAAATGTCATCGTCATCCACAAACTCTGAAAAGGACACACTTCACAATTTATTATGTAAGGCTAGCATGTAATCTTGATACTACAACATGACAAGGATATGCCAAGAACAGAAAATAACAGCCAAATCGCTCATGAATATAGATGAAACATTCTAAATAACATCTTACCAATTATATCTATAACACAACGGGAGAATAATATGTTTTGACCCAATTTGTATTTTTCCAGGAATATAAGGTTGGTTTAACAGTGAAAAATCAATCAGTGTAATTCACTATTTTAATAGAATAAAGGGGAAAAGTTATGGATAGGTTAATACGCGAATGCTGAAATGGCAGTGCTAAATGCCAGGATGACCAAATCCTAAGAAAAACATTTGATAAAATTCAACATTTGTTCTTCCTTAAAATTCTTAGCAAGCTAGGAACAGAGAAAAACTTCAACAGTCTGAAACATTATCTGCAAAACTAGCAAACATCATATTTAATGGTGCAATATTAAAACATTCTTTCTGAGATGAGAAATTAAGAATATCTTTCATCATCTTTTCTATGCAGTATGTCAGAGATCTTAGCCAGTATAATAATTCAAGAAAAAGAAATTAAAAGTATAAGGGTTAGAAAAGAAAAAGTATCATTTATATAGATGACATAGTTATGTTCTTAGAAAATTGTTAGGATTAACAAGTGAATTTAGCAGGTTTCCTGGATACAAAGTATGTAGTTGTATTTCTGTAAAGTAACTGAGAAAATTGAGATAATATATAATTTGAATTTACATCAAAAAATATCAAATATGTAGGGATAAATCTAAAGATATGTAGATAAATCTAAAGATATTTTATATCTGCCTAGAAAACTGTAAGACATTACAGAGGAAAAGTAAAGATAAATAGAAGTATATAGGCTGTTGTTTATGGATTGGAAGATTCAGTATTTAAAGATGTCAGCTTTTCTTCTTTTCTAAGTTGATCTGTATAGGTTTAGTGAAATCACAGTGAAAATCCCAGCAGTTTGATTTTTTTTTTTAAATAAAATCAACAGGTGATTTTAAAACTTACACAAAAGTTGAAAAAACCAAGAATAGCCAAGACAGGAAGAAGGACCAAACTATAGAGTTTACATCTCATAGATATCAAACTTATAAACAATTAAGTCAGGGTGATATTATTCAAGTACTGACAAGTAAAGGCATACTGTAGAATCCAGTATATGGATATTTAATTTGTGTTGGTAATGCAGTGGGTAGAAGATAAATAATGCAGTGGGTAGAAATAGTGATTTCATCAAATCAAGTGGATACCCATATAGGGAAAAAAAAAATGAATCTTGGCCCCTGTTCACACCATATATTTAAAAATAACAAAAAAAACCCACAAATTTTGACTGATAAACTTTGCCAAATTATGCTGATAATTCAGGTAAGATGAGGAATGCTAAATCAATAAGATTGACTTAGCAATGTGGACATGGTGGTAGCGGAAGCCTGAAATTAAAGTGAATTTAAGAGAGAACAGAAAGATGGGAATTAGATATAGCAAGGACACACAACTCTTTTAGAAAATTTTGGTGCAAAGTAAAGGGAAGAAACAAGAGAGGCAACTGACAAAGGAAATAGGACACTGAAACTACAAATTAATAGCAAAGCTAGAAAACAAAAAATCCTGGTCACCTGGAAATTTTTCAAATTCTGAAATAAATACTTATTGGGTCAAAGAGGTAAACTATAAAAAGGTGACAATTTAAGACTATATATGAAAACCTGTGAAATTCAGCTAACATAGTGCTTACAGGAAAATTCATTGCCTTAAAAATACTACATGCATAAATGAGAAAGAATGAAATAAGTCAACTAAGTAGTCAACTCAAAAAGTTAGAAAAATAATATCAAAATACACCTAAGATAAAGTAAGTAGTTGATAAAGATAAACAGAAATCAATGAACTAGAAAACTAAAATAAAAGTTAGAATTCTATGGCCGGGCGCCATGGCTCATGCCTGTAATCCCAGCACTTTGGGAGGCTGAGGCGGGCGCATCACAAGGCCAAGAACTCAAGACCATCCTAGCCAACAATATGGTGAAACCCTGTCTCTACTAAGAATTAGCTGGGCATGGTTGTAAGATGATGCCAGTGCACTCCAGTCTGGTGTAGATCGAGACTTCATCTCAAAAAAAAAAAGCAAAAGTAGAACTCTATTATAACTAAGAGCTGGTTGTCTGCAATAAGACAAATAAGTTGCTAGCTAACTTAATCAAAGGCTGAATGGAGCTAATATGCATACACAAAGTAAAAAATAAGAGGGGAGAATACCACAGATAAGGAGAAAATAAAAGAATCAAAATGGATTACTTTACTTGACCCCAAAAATATATTTGAACACTTGTATGATCCAGAAAATCTTCTTAAAAATTAGTTTATCAAAACTGAATGTGTGTTCTGGGATCCTCAAGACCATTTTGGGGGTCTGTGAGGTTAAAACTGCCTTCTTAGTAATGCCAAGATGTTATTTGCCTTTTTCGCTTCTGTTCTCTCTCAAGGGTACAATGGAGTTTTCTAAGGCTGCATGACAATGTCTCAGTACATTCCATGTATTAGCAGATATGAGAAACAGCCAAACATTTCTCACTAAATTTTTCTTTGTTTTGGACAATATGGTTATTCTTAATAAAAATGTTATTTATGTATAACATGTTACAGGTTTACAGTAATAAATATTTTATATTTTTAAATACTATTTAGCCATTAAATATTTTCAAATAAATTTTGTTTTATATATTTTTAAATTAACTAAATATTTAAGTAATAAAATTTTAATTTCTGTGTGGTAAATATTGACAGCTGTAACCTACATAAAGTTATTGGATTGTCAATAATTTTTAAGAGTGTGAGAGTCCTGAGAACCAACGTGTTAGAGAAAGTTGCATAAGAGTTACCTCTCTAAAAGCCTGAGGGCCAGG